GGGGGGGGAGGGTTATGTAATATGGTAGTCGAACATATGCTGGCCATTTGGAATCGCTGCCCCCCCCCCTATAAAACCCCGAAATTTGAAAAATATTATTGAAATATGGATCAAAATGAGTTCTATTATGGTTGGTGATCATTCTGGGATAAATAGCGACTGTTTGTAAATAGATTAATATATATAACTATAGCTATAATATATATATAATATATAGTAATATAATATATGATACATATATATTAGTGATAATCCGAGTTTACAAATCAGGTTCTGAATTCTTATCGCGCAGAATGATGGCACAAAAAAACAAAAAAAAAAACAAAAAAAAAAAAAGAAAAGAAAAAAGAAAAACAAAAAAACAAAGCATACACTAACTCTTCAAGCCGAATTTACACGTGTTTTCACTAAAGATGTTGATAATAGAATCCAAAACATAAAAAGTCATACAAGGAAATCTAAAACAATAAAATGAAATGGAATACGTAAGGCATCGCTTTCAAGTTTTCAATTGAATTAGTAAAACATACTTCACCATTCATTTTAATAACTAGCTAAAAGTTTTCTAATTCCTTAAATAACAAGATAACAATTTGATTAATAAGGACTCTGATAAAAGAGGAAAACATAGTCCAAGCTCAAACCTAATTATCTATAAAGGTAAGGTCGCCATCGCCGTATCTCTTGCCATGGGTGATGTGGGTATGGACGACGATCGCCAAGAAAAATTGAGATTTTTGATGATGGAGGATTCAGGGAAACTCATTTGATATGAAATTAGCAATAATTAACATTGTGAAGGATAGCTGAAATATAAACTAACAACCTACATAAAAATATGATATGCCATGACCTTATTATAACATGCAAAACCTAATAGTCCAAGAAGAAAATCGCTAAACTAAAAATAGCATATTAATTTACTCATTAGAATACAAAAACAATAAAACTTTGCTAACTTTTCATTTGACATCCTGAATAATTTTAGAATATAAAAAGGTAATTCTGCTAGCAAACAAATAACTATCTAAGAACCTATAGGCTATAAGATATCCAAATTTTTGCGGTGGCCAGGGCATCCCCAAGGGTATTTCTGACTCCGCCCTTGGTCAAGTAGGACTCTATGAACAAATAAAATGCATTGCTTGAAAATATTAATTAGCTCGAGTTTATAAAATTATGAATAATGAGTGCTCGAGTTTATACAATTATTAATGCCTCAATCTTAATTAGCCTAAGTTACACTTTTTCTATGTCTCTATGTTTCCTATGCGTCTTCATTTTTAAATATATGACATCGACAAAATAAAGGCAATCATCAACAACACAAATATTATATATTTTTTAACATTTTAAATGCATATAGTTAAATATTTCTCTTATATTAATTGCTTTTTTACATTTTCTGAACTCCACCTTGACTATGAGAGTTCTTTCAAAATCCATTGCAACAAAAATATGAAAATTAGTGACAATAAAATATGGCATTCATAAAAGACTCTCATGACATTAGCATCATATGGTTTTTTTTTTAAATTAGAACATACAACAGGATAAATTTTCAACATCCTCCACATCAAATCAATCTATTTTCTTCAAATTTTAAAAGAATTCTTTTTGACACAAACTTGTAACAAGATAAAATATGAAAATCGACCAAAAAAATTGCATGCTTCAAATGTTGCATGATATTGGCATTTTAAAGATAAACTTGCAACATATAACAAGAAAGTATTAACAAGCCTTCAACAATAAGAACCACAAACCAATCTCAGGATTATCAAGAATTTTATTGGTTACTTTCAAACATATAGAAAAATCTTACGTCAAGACAAGCTTCAACCTCCACAATTTATGACCACGGGCTAGTATCAGGGGCGGAGGAATTTAGGCCTCGAGGGGCTGATTTTTGGCCAAATTCACCTTGTGATAAACAAATTGAGAGAGGAAAGAAAGAGAGATCACTTAGGATTTTCTTGGGGATCGATTTCACTCTGCAATTTGAGGGGTCAGTTTGGGTTTGATGTTACTTTTCTTTGGTTATAGAAAAGAGAGAGTGGAGAGAGAGGGGAGAGAGAGAGAGAGAGAGAGGAGGGGGGGCAGAGAGAGAGAGAGAGGTGAGAAGATATTTTTGTTGAAATTGAGGGGTATTTTGGTGGTTTTGCCACCTTAAAGTATAAATACAACATACTCTAGCTTTGAATTATACTATTTTGGTTTAATGACAAATACGAAAGGTTGATTAAAGTTAAAAGTATAAATAAAAGATATTGGATTTAAACATAAATTAGGGTAACCATTGGATCTAAAGACAAAAACACCAAATGTTTTCAAATATCTAAGTACATAGTTCCCTTAAAAGATGGACTCAAACATAAAACTTAAAAAGTTTCCATGATTAAGGTGAGAATATAGCATTTACGCTAGCTCCTTTTTGATACTTACACGCCAACTCCGTTGCTTCATATCCTCCATTAGCAGTTGTATGTTTTTATACGATGATCCCTCAATCCCCACCGCTTGTCTGGCTCTTTCCCCTAACATTTTTGCCCTCTTTCTCACTTCCTCCACTTGCTTCTCATTTCCCATGAACCAAATCACCTTCTCTTTGATTTTCTCCCCACTTACTACCACCCCACCCTTCTCGACTTGGTTCCAAACGAAACCCACTTCAGCGCCTATTTTTAAACCTACTTGCGCCACTTCCGTAACCAATATCTCATTATAAAATTGTTCCGCGAACAAAGGCCAAGTCAGCATTGGCACACCTGCTGAGACAGTCTCTGTCACTGATCCCCACCCACAATGTGTCATGAACCCGCCAACCGCCATGTGGGATAAAATCCCCACCTGTGGGGCCCACCCTTTAACTACCATCCCCCTTCCGTCCACACTCTTTTCAAAATCCTCCATCCACTCTTCATGTGACCCGCCCTGTCCTTCTCGGATTACCCAAATGAATGGTACATTTGATGTCCCCAAACCGAACCCAATTTCTTTCAATTGTGCCAGTGGGAACTGGCACAAGCTGCCAAAACACACATAGAGGACCGAACCAGTAGGTTTGTTATCGAGAAACTGGAAGATCTGACCCGCTTCAGGTGGGATCACTCCCCTGCCTCTTTCAACCATGTCAGATGGTTCTTGATTACATAGTGAAACCGGGCCAACCATCCAAGCCCGCTTACCCATTACCCTCTGGTAGTACTCAGCATAAGCGGGTTCCAGATCCGAAAAGCTATTGACTACCAAATCCACTGTGCTGAGATTCACTTTCCTTGCCCGGTCAAAAAATTCTTTGCTCTTCTCCCCTAAAAAAGTAACCGCAAGTTTAAACATGTTAATAGCTTTGACTAACAAATAGACTCCTAAATAAATTGTGAGAAGTTCTATAGATATAGATTAGCTGGGAAAGACCAAACAAGAAAAATATGTCTTCATCTTAAACAACTGATGAATACTAGTACAACTTTTTTATGTTCATGCAATTTGCACTTGTTCATCAAGACATCGTGAAAAAAGAATTTCGAAAACAAACATTAGATGTTGTGAAATATTGATCAAAACCACTTGCACAGTTACCTAGATGATCTTCATGCATATA